TGGGAACATAAACTAGCACAACCATGCTGGACAGCAGTGTGGAGGTTCCCCAAAAATCTAAACATAGACCTTCCTTATGACTCAGCCACGCCACTGCTGGGCATCTACCCTGAACATCATGAGCCAGGATATGATAAAGACACCGGCACATCCATGTTCATTGCTGCACTGTTCACAACAGCTAAGATATGGAAATAGCCCAGATGCCACACAACAGATGGGTAGATCCAGAAAATATGGTACCTATGCACAGTGGAATTTTACACAGCAATCAGAAAGAATGAAGTAATGTCATTTGCTAGGCAATGGATGGAACTAGAACAAATTATGTTAAATGAGACAAGCCAAGCTCAGAGAGACAAACGGTGCGTGTTCTTTCTGATATGTGGATATTAGATGTAAAATACGCTAGGCTGTGATAAACTATACAGGATTCTAGTGACACACACAGTGAGAACCCAAGAGGGTTCTCTTAGGAGAGAGACACACAGCAACAATGCCTTGGTGCCTCTTCATCTGTCTATAAATAGCATGCACACTGAAGCAAACTCCAAGATAAGGAAACGAGAGGCTTACCTTTTAATTTAATTTATTTAATTTTTTTGGGTCCGGTCGTGGGGCCTGAACTCTGGGCCTGGGCGCTGTCCCTCAGCTCTTCAGCTCAAGGCTAGCGCTCTACCACTTGAGCCACAGCGCCACTTCCGGCTTTTTTCTTTTTGCTTATGTGGTGCTGAGGAATCGAACCCAGGGCCTGAGGCATGCAAGGCAAGCGCTCTACCACTGAGCCACCTTCCCAGCCCTTACCTTTTAATTTTAATTTTTGAATTTTTTCTTTTTTTCCTAGTGTTTGGTTTTCAACGATTCTGTCTTCTTTTCTTTATGCATGGTATATTCAAGTGTGTATTTTCTGGAGGGTGAGTGGAGGGGACAGAACTCAAGGGAAAGGGGTGAAAAGTGCAGCAGTGGAGATCACTGGACGCTGATGAGAGTGAAATAAACAACTTGTGGGTGGAGACAGGAGGGACTGGGAGAGATGGGGAACAGAAGACACTGTACGAACAGAAACCAACTCATCACCTGACTCCTGTCATTGTAATCCCTCAGTGCATCACCGCTATAATAACAATAAAGTAAATTAACCTGGTGTGGTTGGTTGTGCATACTCACAATCTCAGCTGAGTCAAGAGGACTTGAGTTTGAGGACGGCTTAGACCACATAGGAAGCTCAAGGCCAGCCGGGAGACCTTGTCTCAGTTTAAAAAAAAGTCTTGTGCAAGAAAGCACACAGCACTATATGCATACACCGGTAAATATTCAGTTTCTCTGGGTCCATGGCTTACATTTACACTATGCCTATAGTGTCTTTTGCAAAAGATAAACTCAAATATAGCAAATATTTATTTTAAGGATTAGGTCTTTGGGACTATATCTAGAAACATTTCTAAAACTAAGGCAATGTGGTGTTTAGTTTTATGCTTTATTCTAGAAGTATTATAGATTTTGATTTTACATTTCATCTGTAATCCATTATAGATTAATGCTTGGAGATGGTAAAAAGTGTGAATTTGTTGTCATTTCTTGCGGCTTATGAAAACCTAATTCTCAGAAAGTTGAAAAGACACTACTACTGAAATGACCTTGCAGCTTTGCCAAAGGTCACTTGCGAACAGATGTAGCAATCTATTCTGGATTCTCCACACTCCTTATCAACCAGCTGACCCGGCTCTCCTGCTCTTCTCAGACAGAAACCAGGCCGGTCGGGAGCTCTTCTAGCCGGCAGTGCTGGGACCTACAGTTCCCAAGCTTTGAGTGGAGAGCCAGGCAGGCCCCAAAGCCCGCTCTAGTCCCTCAAGTCAGGTAGCTTCCTGGCAACTGGCATACAGCACCGTGAGCTTGAGGCTGGTCCAGCTCAAGATTAGCCTTCACCTGTCAAGGCCATCGGCCCCTAGAGTGACTGGCTTCACAGCGCTTAGCCCCTACAGTGACTGGCTTCACAGTGCTTGGTGTCTCTGGTTCTAGGACTGTCTTCCTCCACCGTCCTGCAGGGTCCCTGTCGCCTCTCAATAGCTGTCTGGCCTGGCCGCTCTCTGGGGCTCACCAGTGTCCCCCTCTTTGCTGCCGCTCCATGGCTGCTTCTGCAGATCTGTGTTCTCAGATCATCTGCTCGCTGATGGTGAAGCTCAGACCCAGGCTGCACTCCAGAGGAGGCGGGCGGTGGGCGGTGGGCTGGGAGTCAGCCGCATCACCTCGCCCTCTCCCTGCAAGCTGGGCCCTGGGCAGGTCTCTGCAGCGGCGCATCCTCAGCGAGCAGGCGTGATCTGCTGGTCCTGTGTCTGTTTTCAAGGCACGGACACTACTGTTCATCCTCCTTACCCCACACCCCAGCACCGGGACAGGACGGTCGATGGTGATGAACAAGGGCTCTGAAGGGGCTGGCCTGAAGAGGTCCCAGCCACCAGACAACAGCCGTGGCCGAGAGCAAGGACTCAGGACACAGTGGTCCTGCCCCGTTTCCATGGTCCTGTTCACGGCCTGAGCAGGTGAGGAGGCTCTGGCTGGAGAATACTGACAGTGCTGGAAAGTACTGCTGCACTAGGACAGCAGAGGTCACACTCAGGGCCGTGGGCGGGTGACGCTGCGTCACACTCAGGGCCGTGGGCGGGTGACGCTGTGTCACACTCAGGGCCGTGGGCGGGTGATGCTGTGTCACAGGGCCGTGGGCGGGTGACGCCGCGTCACACTCAGGGCCGTGGGCGGGTGACGCTGTGTCACAGGGCCGTGGGCGGGTGACGCTGTGTCACACTCAGGGCTGTGGACAGAGGATGGCTGTGTCACAGTCAGGGCTGTGGGTGGATAATGCTCTGTAACAGGCCTAAGAGACTGCACCTTGGCTCAGTCCATACATCTGGCTTCCTGAGACCTTCAGATAAACGGTATCACCTTTGCCTTATAGAAAGTTTCTAACAGGGGAAAATGCTCAGGCTCAGAGTCACACCCAGTGGCTGAGCTATTGAACACAGCTTGCTCAAATATGTACCCAGTCCCTGGCCTGATAGAGACTTGCCTAAGAGAAGCCAGGCCGCTTGAGTCTGTGGAGATGGGGGCTTCACAGAAGGAACGCAGTGTGAGTCAACAGGAGGTGCAGGCCTGCGGGTCTGCGGCAGCGTGTGTAGCTGACCTGGGCAATTCTTCTTTGCAACCTGGTCACCCGTGTCAGCAGGTTAAGGTCCATCTTGCTTCCACGCAGCATTGATCCTCTGTCATTCCTGACTTGTGACCAGACTGAAAACGGCCTGGGACCCAGGATGCGTCACCCACAGCCTGGCCTGGGATCCAGGCTGAGTCACCTGCAGCCTTCCACTATTGCGAAACACAAACCCTAAACTTAAAAATATTTTTCAACATAAAGTCATGGGAATGGTAGCTCAGGCAGCAAAACAAAGTTACGCAACAGGAGTAATAAATTAAAGCTGTCAAGTAGCAGATGCCGGTGCCAGGCGAGCACAGATGCGGACGATGAGCCTGCTGTGCTCACGCTGGCCTCTGCCACCCGCCTGTGTTCAGAATTTATGAGGCTGCACAGCCCCAGGGCCTCACGAATCACTGCCTAGGCATTCTGACAGGAGTTTAGATACACAGAAAAAATAAACCGCTGTCATTTTCTCTTTTTTTCACAGTTGGCTCATCAGATAAAAGGACAGCACTGGAGGTCCTGGGCCGCAGAAGCCTCGGGAGTGGGTGGTCTCAGAAGGCCCCATCAGCCTCTGCGCCTCAGAAAAGCAGAACCATGATACCCAGGGACCAGGCACTGCCCGCAAGCTGGAGAGCCCCGCCTCTGCTCTCTGGAGCATGTGGACTGAGGTCTCACACCTGCGCATGGGCAGGCCACATTCCCTCACAGAGAGTGTCACCTCATTTCTAAAATGAAACAACAAAGACACATTAATAAACCTATTTGTTGGATGGCAAATCCTTTGTACAACCACTTAAAAACTATAAAAACGAAACAGAATAAACTGTCCATGTCCTGGACTGCTGTGTCTATGGGAATGGTGTGCAGCGCCCCTGGTTAGACCGTCTGGGTGTGGCGCCCCCTGGGTTGGACCATCTGGGAGTGGTGCCCCCTGGGTTAGACCGTCTGGGTGAAGCGCCCCCTGGGTTAGACCGTCTGGGTGCGGCGCCCCCTGGGTTAGACCGTCTGGGTGCGGCGCCCCCTGGTTGGACCGCCTGGGTGCGGTGCCCCCTGGTTGGACCGTCTGGGTGCGGCACTCCCTGGTTGGACCGTCTGGGTGCGGCGTCCCCTGGTTGGACCGCTTGGGTACAGCGCCCCCTGGTTGGACCGTCTGGGTACAGCGCACCCTGGTTGGACCATCTGGGTGCGGCGCCCCCTGGTTGGACCGTCTGGGTGCGGCGTCCCCTGGTTGGACCGCTTGGGTACAGCGCCCCCTGGTTGGACCCTCTGGGTACAGCGCCCCCTGGTTGGACCGTCTGGGTACAGCGCCCCCTGGTTGGACCATCTGGGTGCGGCGCCCCCTGGTTGGACCGTCTGGGTGCGGCGCCCCCTGGTTGGACCCTCTGGGTACAGCACCCCCTGGTTGGACCGTCTGGGTACAGCGCCCCCTGGTTGGACCATCTGGGTGCAGCGCCCCCTGGTTGGACCGTCTGGGTGCGGCGTCCCCTGGTTGGACCGCTTGGGTACAGCGCCCCCTGGTTGGACCGTCTGGGTACAGCGCCCCCTGGTTGGACCGTCTGGGTGCGGCGCCCCCTGGTTGGACCGTCTGGGTGCGGCGCCCCCTGGTTGGACCGCTTGGGTACAGCGCCCCCTGGTTGGACCCTCTGGGTGCGGCGCCCCCTGGTTGGGCTGTCTGGGTGCGGCGCCCCCTGGTTGGACTGTCTGGGTGCAGTGCCCCCTGGTTGGACCATCTGGGTACAGCGCTCCCTGGTTGGACCCTCTGGGTGCGGCGCCCCTGGTTGGACTGTCTGGATGCGGCGCCCCTGGGTTAGACCATCTGGGTACAGTGCTCCCTGGTTGGACCGTCTGGGTACAGCACCCCCTGGTTGGACCGTCTGGGTGCGGTGCCCCCTGGTTGGACCGTCTGGGTGAGGCGCCCCCTGGTTGGACCGTCTGGGTGCGGCGCCCCCTGGTTGGACTGTCTGGGTATGGCGCCCCCTGGTTGGACCCTCTGGGTATGGCGCCCCCTGGTTGGACCCTCTGGGTGCGGCGCCCCCTGGTTGGACTGTCTGGGTGCAGCGCACCCTGGTTGGACTGTCTGGGTACAGCGCTCCCTGGTTGGACTGTCTGGGTGCAGCGCCCCCTGGTTGGACTGTCTGGGTGCGGCGCCCCCTGGGTTAGACCATCTGGGTGCGGCGCCCCCTGGTTGGACCGCCTGGGTGCAGCGCCCCCTGGTTGGACCACCGGGGTGCGGCACCCCCTGGGTTAGACCATCTGCGTGCAGCGCCCCCTGGTTGGACCGTCTGGGTGCAGCGCCCCCTGGTTGGACCCTCTGGGTGCGGCGGCCCCTGGTTGGACCCTCTGGGTACAGCGCCCCCTGGTTGGACTGTCTGGGTACAGCGCCCCCTGGTTGGACCGTCTGGGTGCGGCGCCCCCTGGTTGGACCGCTTGGGTACAGCGCCCCCTGGTTGGACCCTCTGGGTACAGCGCCCCCTGGTTGGGCTGTCTGGGTGCGGCGCCCCCTGGTTGGACTGTCTGGGTGCAGCGCCCCCTGGTTGGACCGCTTGGGTACAGCGCCCCCTGGTTGGACCGTCTGGGTACAGCGCCCCCTGGTTGGACCCTCAGGGTGCGGCGCCCCCTGGTTGGACTGTCTGGGTGCGGCGCCCCCTGGTTGGACTGTCTGGGTGCGGCGCCCCCTGGTTAGACTGTCTGGGTGCGGCGCCCGCTGGTTAGCTCTGGACTCAGTGACCTCCCTGCAGTCTACCATAACAGCACTCATGCTCTACTTCCCTCTTCAATCACTCATTTGGTTAAAAAGAAAAGTGAGGATAAGTGTGAAGTGGGAAGTGTCCCTTGCAGCTTTAAATATACAAATGAAGACAGAGGCAAGAAGGTGAGGGGTTGAGTGTGGGCTTGGGGAGCCTCGGTCTTGGCCTCACAACCACTGGGAGCCTTTCCTAGTGGAGCTGGCATGCCAGCATCGTGGTGGGAGGAAGGGCTGTCCCCGCAGGAAGCAGGTGGGGCGTGGGCAGGTGGTGTGGCTCACTCTAGCGCTGCCTCTGCATGGAAGGTCAGCGGCTTCTGGCCAGCTGGACCATGGTTGGCCAGCCCACAGAAGGGACCTGTGTCCCATGGTGGAACAGCCCTGGCTGACTGGTCCAGGGAGGAAGGGAGAGAGCTATGCTCACCTCCACTCTGTCCATCCCCCAGGGAGGAAGGGGAGAGCTACGCTCACCTCCACTCTGTCCATCCCCCACCTTCCCACCATTTCCCTCCATTTCCATCCTGAGCAGCACCCAGAACCAGGGAGCCCACCTGGCCTTTGCCAAGGTCACAGAGGTGGAGGAGCAAGGTCTCAGGAGGATGAGGGGAGGGGCACCGAAGGTGGGGAGGATAGATATCCAGAAGGCCAATACACGTGTAAGAAGATGCAACATTTTAACATATACAGAGAAATGCCAAGTGAATCAACCGGGAGAAATTATTTCATAGCAGTGAGAATAGCTAGAGTTGAAGGCAGATGATGACAAGAAGCTGGAAGCTGCAAGGTCGCTGCTGGGGGTGTGGGCTGGGATAGCCACTTTGGAAATGGATGGACAGTGGCCACTAATGGCCAGGCTATCCCTGTGTCTCTTGGAAGTTCCATTCCCAAGTAGAAAGCTGTGCTCCTGAGGACCCAACACAAGCATATTCCAAGCAGAGTAATTAGTGTTAACCAAACTACACAAACTTCTTTTGCTCAGCAGCTCAGTGAATAAAGTGTGGTGTGCCAACACAACGCAATACAATTTGTTAGTAATAAAAACTAAACTGTGTGTGGCAATGCTACACACGCCAGACAGAATGAATGGAGGCCTGCACCGCACAATCCAGGTGCTCAGCACTCAGAATGAGTGATATCACCAACATGTAAGAAGAGCCGTGGTATCAGCAGCTGGAGGGGGCTGGGAGGTCAGAACCTCAGTATCCTGGCCATTGGCCTGATATTGGCCTCAGCTGGACACATAGGTGGCAAACAACTAAGGAATATATTTTTGATCATTGTGCATTTATGCATAGTTTACAGAATGTAAAGGTTTTAAAAAATAGAATGAGATATTATTGATCTCATTGCTAAATTCAATGATACTTCATGAACTTTGGACAAAGAGAATCCCAGAGCAGGGGCTGAGAGAGATTTTCTATGCTCCTGGGCTCACGGGTTCCCAAGGAGACCGCAGGTTGTAACAGCAGACAGCAGAGGATACACGCCTCACTGGTTCCAGGAAGGTGGCCACCTTCACCTGGATGCCGGGGAAGGCATCATGGCTCCTTCCTGGTCAGGGTTTCCCACAGGGCAGAGGGAGACTCTGGTGTCTTGTTTCACTTTCATAAGCTCACTAATTCAATCCTGAGAACTATGTTCACACGAGCTCATCGGACTGCTCACTGCGCCAGAGGACCAAATATGCTGACCTCATCCGACCTCATAACTACCTGAGGACCAAATCCTCATGACCTCATCCGACCTCATAACCACCTGAGGACCAAATCCTCATGACCTCAACACCTCATCCTGAGGACCAAATCCTCATGACCTCATCCGACCTCATAACCACCTGAGGACCAAATCCTCATGACCTCATCCGACCTCATCCCCTCATCCTGAGGACCAAATCCTCATGATCTCATCCAATCTCACAACCACCTGAGGACCAAATCCTCATGATCTCATCTGACCTCATCTCCTCATCCTGAGGACCAAATCCTCACGACCTCATCCAACCTCATAACCACCTGAGGACCAAATCCTCATGACCTCATCCAACCTCATAACCACTGAGGACCAAATCCTCATGACCTCATCCGACCTCATAACCACCTGAGGACCAAATCCTCATGATCTCATCCAACCTCATAACCACCTGAGGACCAAATCCTCATGACCTCATCCGACCTCATAACCACCTGAGGACCAAATCCTCATGACCTCATCCAACCTCATAACCACCTGAGGACCAAATCCTCATGACCTCATCCGACCTCATAACCACCTGAGGACCAAATCCTCATGATCTCATCCAACCTCATAACCACCTGAGGACCAAATCCTCATGACCTCATCCGACCTCATAACCACCTGAGGACCAAATCCTCATGACCTCATCCGACCTCATCCCCTCATCCTGAGGGCCAAATCCTCATGATCTCAACACCTCATCCTGAGGACCAATTCTCTGCCCTCATAACCTCTACCTGAGGACCAAATCCTCTGCCCTCAACACCTCATCCTAAGGGCCAAATCCTCTGCCTTCAACACCTCATCCTGAGGACCAAATCCTCATGACCTCATCCAACCTCATAACCTCTACCTGAGGGCCAAATCCTCATGACCTCATCCGACCTCATAACCTCTACCTGAGGACCTCATCCTGAGGGCCAAATCCTCTGCCCTCAACACATCATCCTGAGGACCAAATCCTCATGACCTCATCCAACCTCATAACCACCTGAGGACCAAATCCTCTGCCCTCATCCGACCTCATCTCCTCATCCTGAGGACCAATTCTCTGCCCTCACTTCTTCATCCTGAGGACCAATCCTCTGCCCTCATCCGACCGCTTTAGCACCTGCAGACCCAGGACCAGCAACTTCAGGGCAAGAGCTTCCGCACGTGAGTCTGGCATCCGTCTTGGTCTTCAGCCACAGAATTCTGACTGCTGACCCTCCTCTCCACTCCCCCCGCCTGAGGCTCTGTGGCCTAAGAGACACCTGGGTGGAGCCAGAGGCAGCCACAGCCCAGCTCGTGGGAAAGATTGCCTAATTGGGAAGATTACCTCAGCCTCTTGAAGAAAAGCTAAACGAATATACACACCAGAGTAATGTGACAGTGCTTTCTTATAACATTCCCTAGAGCATACCAACAGAGAGTTACATAATAACCTTATGAATTAAGTTTTTATCAACTAGAAAACTGAATGAGCTGAGCCAGGAATACAATCCCAATGGGTCGTGTTAGCCAGATAGGGTGAGCGGCAAGCAGCTGGAGGGAGTAGTGAGTGGAGGGTGTGTGTGGAGGGAGTAGTGAGTGGAGGGTGTGTGTGGAGGGAGTAGTGAGTGGAGGGTGTGTGTGGAAGGAGTAGTGAGTGGAGGGTGTGTGTGGAGGGAGTAGTGAGTGGAGGGTGTGTGTGGAGGGAGCGTGAGTGGAGGGTGTGTGTGGAGGGAGTGGTGAGTGGAGGGTGTGTGGAGGGAGTAGTGAGTGGAGGGTGTGTGTGGAGGGAGTAGTGAGTGGAGGGTGTGTGTGGAAGGAGTAGTGAGTGGAGGGTGTGTGTGGAGGGAGTAGTGAGTGGAGGGTGTGTGTGGAGGGAGTAGTGAGTGGAGGGTGTGTGTGGAGGGAGTAGTGAGTGGAGGGTGTGTGTGGAGGGATTGGTGAGTGGAGGGTGTGTGTGGAGGGAGTAGTGAGTGGAGGGTGTGTGTGGAGTGAGCGTGAGTGGAGGGTGTGTGTGGAGGGAGTAGTGAGTGGAGGGTGTGTGTGGAAGGAGTAGTGAGTGGAGGGTGTGTGTGGAGGGAGTAGTGAGTGGAGGGTGTGTGTGGAGGGAGTAGTGAGTGGAGGGTGTGTGTGGAGGGAGTAGTGAGTGGAGGGTGTGTGTGGAAGGAGTAGTGAGTGGAGGGTGTGTGTGGAGGGAGCGTGAGTGGAGGGTGTGTGTGGAGGGAGTAGTGAGTGGAGGGTGTGTGTGGAGGGAGCGTGAGTGGAGGGTGTGTGTGGAGGGAGTAGTGAGTGGAGGGTGTGTGTGGAGGGATTGGTGAGTGGAGGGTGTGTGTGGAGGGAGTATTGAGTGGAGGGTGTGTGTGGAGGGAGTAGTGAGTGGAGGGTGAGTGTGGAAGGAGTAGTGAGTGGAGGGTGTGTGTGGAGGGAGTAGTGAGTGGAGGGTGTGTGTGGAGGGATTGGTGAGTGGAGGGTGTGTGTGGAGGGAGTGGTGAGTGGAGGGTGTGTGTGGAGGGATTGGTGAGTGGAGGGTGTGTGTGGAGGGAGTAGTGAGTGGAGGGTGTGTGTGGAGGGAGTAGTGAGTGGAGGGTGTGTGTGGAGGGAGTGGTGAGTGGAGGGTGTGTGTGGAAGGAGTAGTGAGTGGAGGGTGTGTGTGGAGGGAGTGGTGAGTGGAGGGTGTGTGTGGAGGGAGTGGTGAGTGGAGGGTGTGTGTGGAGGGAGTCGTGAGTGGAGGGTGTGTGTGGAAGGAGTAGTGAGTGGAGGGTGTGTGTGGAGGGAGTGGTGAGTGGAGGGTGTGTGTGGAGGGAGTAGTGAGTGGAGGGTGTGTGTGGAGGGAGTAGTGAGTGGAGGGTGTGTGTGGAGGGAGCGTGAGTGGAGGGTGTGTGTGGAGGGAGTAGTGAGTGGAGGGTGTGTGTGGAGGGAGTAGTGAGTGGAGGGTGTGTGTGGAGGGAGCGTGAGTGGAGGGTGTGTGTGGAGGGAGTAGTGAGTGGAGGGTGTGTGTGGAGGGATTGGTGAGTGGAGGGTGTGTGTGGAGGGAGTATTGAGTGGAGGGTGTGTGTGGAGGGAGTAGTGAGTGGAGGGTGTGTGTGGAGGGAGTAGTGAGTGGAGGGTGTGTGTGGAGGGAGTTGTGAGTGGAGGGTGTGTGTGGAGGGAGTAGTGAGTGGAGGGTGTGTGTGGAGGGAGTAGTGAGTGGAGGGTGTGTGTGGAGGGAGCGTGAGTGGAGGGTGTGTGTGGAGGGAGTAGTGAGTGGAGGGTGTGTGTGGAGGGAGTAGTGAGTGGAGGGTGTGTGTGGAGGGAGTAGTGAGTGGAGGGTG